ATCTAAAACTATCTCCCAATAAACCTACAGCAATTTGAGAAAGTGTTCAAAGATGACATTTAATTGTGAGTTTTACATGTAAATGATTAAAAAGGCTCAAAGCCATCAGCCAAAGATGCCACATTAGACTTTGTCACCAGCGACATCTAGTGTTTAAAAAGGCGTCGATGTAACAACCATCGCTTCTGCAGTTCAGACGGGGAGGTGAGGGATGCAAACTTTAGGCAGGTTGGCACAGAAAGGTTAAAAAAAAAACAAAAAAAAAACAAGTGCTAAGAGTGAAGACGGGCAGAAACTATATATGATCCGACATCATTTTGCATCCCTGAATGTGATGAAACCAGATGTGTAATGGAATGCAGAGTGGGCACAAAGTGAAAACGGGGGTAAACCCAGAGAGGAGGAGCAAAAGTTAAAGAGTCAGGCAGACAATATGCATCAACAGCGTGAGAAACAGGACAGCAATACGGGAAAAACCCCAAAACTAAACAGATTCACATGAAGCCAGACGCAACGAGGACTCAGAATTCACCACTTAGGAGAACAAAGTAATATTTATCGAACAACAACTGGTGAAATATGGCACAGAACAAAGGGCACAGAGGCTGAGGGTTTTCAAGACATCATTCAATACAATTCTTTGAACCCACAAAACAGAAACGGACAGAAAAAAAGAAAAACTGATTCTAAAGGCATCCATTTCAGTTCTGTCACCGATCCTCTTTTTTAACTTTTTTTTTTGTAACATATCGTAACGTCTGTAATTTCAATGGGAATCTGGTGATAAGAAATCCCACAGTTTTATGTAAAGACCTTGTGTGAACTCCACTCCCTCCTATAGAAACGGATATGAAGCGGACAGATGCAGAAGAGGTAAAACAAAAACAAAAAATAATATATATATATATATTAAAAGCACAAACAGTAGCTGCCACACTGATGCAACCATGCTTAGCTAGAAATACATTACTGTACCACTTGCTGTATAAATATACTGCATGTTTTTTTAAACTTAGAAATCCAATGCTATAGTGAAATACACCTGAATATTATGCATACCCATTATGCTCAATTGACCATAGGGAAAGAAGAAGAAGAAGAAAGGAAACAAGATTTAACTGAGAAATACTGACAAAAAGTAGTGGTTGGTTAAATAAATCCTAATGGAGTAACATCACTGCTGTCGCAAGAAAATGTAGTTTGTGAACTTGTGAAGTTTCACCAGCTTTAAATTAAAATGTACAAGATCCTTAAGCGGCGTCATTTCCTCACTCTCATGCTAATAACACCCACTTGATATCGGCTAAAATACAAGAGTCGCTTTAAAAACGGGGCCCAAACGTAGGCGCTTTTCTTCCGACAGCGGAATTATGCGATATTTTCTTGAGAATTAACATACTAGTGTACAAACATCTGGACTAAGAATACCTCAAACACTCGACCTTATTGTTTTATTTTTAATTAGGATATAAATTGCTTCTTCCGCCGTCTTGCACTACAAAGTCTAGGTACCTGTTACTTAGCATTAAATTATAGTAGTATAGTCAAGTTTCTTTTTTTTGTCTTATGTTGTGCAATATTTCCTCACAATGTTATTCAATACTCCAAAAAAATTTGATATGTCTACTTTTCTTAGCAGTAACTGTAATAATTATTGAAAGGCGGCTGCATACGGAGCCTTGAATCCATATTTAGAGATTACAACAATATGCATTTGTTTATTTAAACCCCCCCCCCCCAAAAGAAAATCAATTCAAAATGCTGATAAAATAATTACTGTACGTTAAAGTTGGAGGCATTCCCCTCTTATTTTATTGCAATATCAAACCACTTCATCCACATACCCGTGCGCTAAATGCTTTTTTTAAAAGACCAATCTACCCTCACAGGAATGTGAAGTTCTCCTTTGAGCTTTTTTCTTCTTGTAAATCCTGAAAAAAAATGCCACAGGCCTCACCTAAAAGTAAATCCCACCACGATCACGACTACCCCACACTGACGAGGACCAATACACAAAGACTTAAAGTGCCGCTATTACGCATCTGTGTTTAGATTTGCTTACATAGCCCAATGTTCTCACCGAATGGAGTCATTCTCTCCCTGAAAACACTGCCATGGAAATGCTTTGGCTGTAGCCCAGGCTCTTCTTGTGTTACATATCTATGTCACTATGTAACAGCCATAATCTTGGCCTAGAAACCAAGAAGTGAAAAAACAAAACAAAACACCCCACCTACTCGCCTATTATGACCTTTTTGTTGAGTTCTTGTACAAAATGATCAGTTTCTGCTGAATTACATTTGTCTCCACAACAATAATGAACCCTACATGTTTCATTTTAGCATGGTGCACAGGTATAAATATTTACTCGATCTGTATTGTATTTGACTGTAGACAAATTACCAATAAAGTTGTTCTTTCTAACATAAAAACACAAGAAGAAATGGATGAAATAATTCCAAAAAAAACCCCATCAAACAAGACTGTCATATTTTCAATTTCCTGACATTAAAGTTCAGAGAAGAGAAAATCTGGCTGAAGCCAAAAGTTTCTGTTAGTATTTAATGGCTCTTAGAGGAGCATCCAGTTATGAATGTGACCAAGTTTGATTGTCAAACTCCTTTAAATCTGCATTCTATCTAAAGACCAGCAGATGGCGATAGCTGTGGCTGCAACAACACCTGCGGTCCTATAGAAGTTCATGGGCTCATCCACTCACTTTGAGTCACACTGAACAAAAAAGTCTGTTCTGTAAATCTTGGGGAGTTTATTTATTTATTTATTTTTTTTAAATGATGATTATTTGGTTGCCCATGGGCTAATGACTTGCCAATCAAAAACCAATAAGATATAGTTTCCCAGTCAGACCCACGACTCCTTGTTACATCCAGTCTTTTGCAAAATGGGGCTTAAACAAACATGAGACGTCACAGTATCCATCCATCTTTTATACAGTCTGGGTACAGTGCAGATTTCAAGAGCCAGGAGCCAAAACCGAGTGTTTCAGAGAGAGAACGACAAAGATGCTGAAGCACTGTGGGAACTAATGTGTGACTAAAAACATGTTGTTGTTGTTGTTTTTAATTTGTTTAACTTTAAAATCAATGAAGTGGAAAAAATAATTGTGAATACAAGCGTAACTGGGCACTTTAAGCTACATGACAAGGTACGGTATCATTCTGACATAAATCCTAAAAAGCCGTGCTGCAACATGGACCTTATGCTGAGCACATTATTAACAGACTGCGTCCAATCAGAAGGCTGTGATGTGCATAACATTTAGACGGATGGACTAGATTGAATTCTATTCATCTATCCAATGATATTTATCTGACACGTCCATTATTTAATAAAAAAAATTCAATAGTCTGGGCTCTCATCTGCAGGCCGTTTGGTTATTAGTCCTCGTCTGGAAAATGGAAGGAGGAGGACGAGATGATATATTCACAGTGAGAAAAATCAATGTGCATCACATACAGCACAAAAGAGCCGTCTGTTTGTGCACCTCCTTGCAGGCAAGATGTAACAAACTTAACTCTCTTGTACCTTAAGATGACAGCTGTGAATATGTCATCTTGTCTACTGTTCTCATTCCTTCCGGCTCTCCTCCGACATCACCACCGATCCCTTTAAACTCCATCACTGCTGGCTGTGTCTCCCATGCACACCCCAGAAATCCATGTGTGTGTGTGTGTGTGTGAGTGTGTGTGTGAGTGAGTGTGCGTGTCCACCAGCTAAAACATAACTGGAGGTACTGTACAATAAGCGCCACTAAGTGACGGCGTTTCCCAAAACACAACAGGAGCCCCTGTGTGTGTGTGTGTGTGTGTGTGTGTGTGTGTGTGTCAGAAAGTGTGCACGACCATCCAAGCTGTTGTCACTGTTAGTATAGCTGTATTTTTTTAAGGTTTTAAATGTACTTACCTACTCTAACCACAGAAAAAAAGCTGACATGACCCAAACCACCCAGGAACGTCCTCTATAGCTAGGATAAAATTTTGATAGTGTCACAACATACCAGCCTGCATAGTATGTAGCATGATGTTTGCACTAGGTACAATGCTAAAGCGGACAAAAAATGTGACGCGTAGCATTACACGTGATGGCTGGTCAGTGCTCATAGCACTCCTATGGAGGGGTAACATCCGGGATGACAAACTACTGCTGGACACAGCTACACTGGAAGACGACCGAGATCAAACTGAAAAAGGATGAGGAAGAATTTGGGGGGAGAGACTGCAAAGTAAGGTAACTCATCTGAGTGTAGCAAAAAGAAGGAACATTAAAAATCAACAATCTGTAAAACTAAAATCCTAGTTGTGTTGAAACCCTGTGCTGATATCTAGTCATTAAAAAATTTGGCAGCATAAGTCAATAAGTCTTTGTGACCGATGGAGATGAAGAAGAATAAGTGCCCAATATTCTCCAGCCAGCTGAGTTGCAGCAGGCAGAAACACACACGCACGCACACACACACACACGCACACCAGCACAAAACAGTAACAGGAGCGCTCGACACCCGTGATTGGTCAAGAGTCCTTCTGGAGTTCCAATGACAGACACAGCAAAGGAAAATGAGGAAATGAAATAAAATAAGAATACAAAATAAGATAATGATTGGTTGGCAGATGAAAAGGAAAAAAGAAAAAGAAAACAAAGAAAAAGCAGCTTTTGTAAAAATGTTAGAGAATGTCGCATAATAACAATGATAGTAAAGTGGCTGTTGCACTTTAGTTTTGTTCTTGCAGACAGATGCAGAGTTCCCGTGATTACTGACGGGAGCTCGCGGTAAGATTCGAGCAGTTGCATACGATGGTGGACTCCAGATCTGGTAGGAGAGAAAAGCAGAGCCACACATAGGTGATTGAGTTAAGACTGCCTCAGACCTCTGAGGGAAGAAGGGGGAAAAAAAATGGCGAGGCAGCGCAGTTTGTTAAAGTCGAGAGAGACAGGGACGAGATGAGGAAAGGAAAAGGTGGAGAGGAGGGGAAGAAAAGGAGGAACCACCAGATGGAGCACAGAAACATCTTAAAGAGGAGGATCTGAAACAGCAGGAGGGGAGATACTTACATGATGGATGGGCTCTACCAGTGAGGCGGTACGTAGCTGTACCCAGGTGTCCCTTGGGGCCTGTAGGTTGGCACAGTAACTGGGTGTGCTCCAATTGGGGGGTGTTGTGGCGTTGTCAGCAGAGTCCCTACACAAAGAAAACACCAACAAGGATGCAAAATCAATTTGTACCTGAGCTGCATCTACCAATCATGCACTTCTTTTTGGTTTTTTGCAGCAAAAAGGCAATAAAATAAAGAATAAAATGTTTTTTTAAGTCCAGGGACTTGAGGTAGGACTAAAAAGGTAACAAAGGGTCTTTGCTAAAAACATTTAAAATACACCAACACGCATTGGCCTGCACCATCTTCACAGATACTATCAGGGCTATTACACTTTCACCCATCACAGGTGGGCAACAAAATCACACATTTTCATTTTTCTTTACCTTCTCAGGGCAAAGATGAAGAAAACGATCCTTTAATTAATGCTATAGCCTTTTTAAAGCAAACAAATTCAAAAGTTTTCATCAGTGCAGTAATAATAATATCAATAACAGAGCCCCAAAGGGATTTGTGTCTCCTCCAGTACAGCCATCACAAATTATGGTCGAGGGTGAAGAACAGTTATTATGTTGGTACCATATTAGGCCCACATGGAAAGAGTTCACAGTTGCTTTCATACCTGCGCTCATGGCCATGGTTGTCCCAGCTACCATCCCCATGGCAGCCATGCCGTTGTTGCGAGGAGCAGGTACAGGAACAGGGGCCGGGTAGAGGGCTGTGGAGGGGATGCTGTTAGGCTGCACCACGGTGGTGTGATGGATCACATGTGGCTGAGCGGCAAACACTGGCTGGGTGTAGTACGCTCCCTGTCAGGACAAAACATCGGAAAACCTTCAATGATTACAAAACATCTTAGCAGAAGAAACTTCTTCAAGTGATTTTGCATTACAAGAACAAGGAAAACAGACTGAAAAACAATACTTTGAAATGGACAGAAATTGAAGCCGTCTCTTCTTTTCACTGCACTTTTCAAAGCACCAAATTACAAAACAACAACATGATTGCCTTATTGTTGTTTTATTGTGTGCGACTGAATCTCAAAACGAAGTTCAATTCAATCTGTTTTCTAATTTAATAATAGCAAATGTTTATTTCCCCGCATTTTTGGATAACCAAGCGTGTTACTACCAGCTAAAGTGTGCCATAACAAAAATCAGCCAACGTCGAATGTCTGTGTTTTCATTCATCCAGGTCACGGTTGTCTAAGGACATTAGAAAATAAAGCGAGGGTTCTTTAGCCCTCGCTGATGGTAGAGAGTGACATGTTCTGTATCCAAACAGTGTCCCTGTAGGCTGGAGAAATGCGCTTTTCACTCAACAGTCCAATTCTGCAGAACAGAAGCTACCTATGAACATGATAAGTGCTCTGAATTTAAACGAGGAGAATCAACAGCCATGTGACAGACCATTTACTGTCACAAATCGCTTCGCCTAATTGTTTTTAATACAGAGTAAAACGACGCAGACTGAGCAGGCAGCACAAATGTATTTACTGGAGTGGCTGCGTTAAACGGTTATGGCAGCCGAGCAGCTGCAGCAACAAACCCCATCAACATTTTTCACTGTTAAAGTAACAAACGCCACTCCAGACATCCTCACCTGTGTGTATAGGTTCTGCTGAGGGTAGGCACTGCGGATGGGGTACATAGCTGTCGGGTACGGGGTAGGGGTCGGAGTATAAGGAGGAGGGGCTCCATTTGACTGAGTGGGGGGCACTTTGTATGGAGTTCCTGCTGGAGTATATCCTATACAACGAAAGAAAAGAGAAATACAACATAAATTCACCAGCTCACCAAGAAGAGGTCTTCTTAAATCTAGGAGAGTTTCTTATTTACACATCAATAACACATTAGAATAATGAGAATTCTCCACACTGTCTTTAGTCAGTTGAGCTCTCACACTGGGTTTTTATGAGTAACTCTATACCTTAAACATTTCATTGTTGTGTGTGTTTATATGTTTAGGGGGAGCAGCAGCAACCAAAGAGAGTACAGACTCACCCTTTTAGCACTAGTCCTCACATCTCATTATTTGCATTTCCTATAAAATCCACCAGATGGGGACGACTGCCATCTTTTGAAGGGATTTGAATATCAAAACAATAAAGCTGACAGTTTATGTATATTTATCCAGTTTAAGCATGGGCTTTGAAGATAGGGGCTTTGCACTGTGTATTGAAAAAGCCATCTACTGATTGTATGTGAGGTATTTTCAGTTTTTTTTCACAGATTATATTCTGCAGTATACGCTGAAACCAACAACCACAGCAGAGCTGCAACACCATTTCACATAGTATCCTCCCTGTAGCTGACGCTACGTCACTGGATGAAAAGCGTGACGTTGGGGACAGTAAAGGAATCTGGCTCAGACCGCTGCATTCATGTCCGCTCTGATCTCTGGGGGTGTAGTACCTCTGAGCCGCCACCTGGAGGAGCCTGAAGGTCAAACATGCTACTAGCTAGTTGGTGCTGCTGTGGAGCTTATGAAAGCGCTTTTCTCACACAAGGACAAGGGAACAAAGAGATGCTGGAGCTGCTCTGTGGCTAAAAGTCTGTGTGTGTGTGTGTGTGTGTGTGTGTGTGTGTGTG